CACCAGAACAAATTGCAATAAGCTGTAGTTGTTCTGGTGACTATACTGTCCCTTTAAAATAGTATATTTTTTTTAATATATAAAATTCTCCAACTTGCTTAAAGCCACAGCATTGCTCTTCTTGTCTGGATTTTGCAATTCGATTTTTGATTCACAACGGTTGATGTTTATTGAATAAATCCCAGAGGCAAATGCTTTGAATGCAAATTACACACGACTTAAGCAAAATAGTATACGTAAAACAGGTCAGATTCAATGCTTTTTCCTTCTCCATAATCCCATGTGATTTCTATGCGCAGAGACGTTAACGCGATTGATGTAAGTAAAATATGTGGCTGAATATCACAGAATGTGACATTTGTGTGTACAACATTATATAAAACATTTACTATACACTGAATAGTAGTTAGCTTCAAAATGAACTGCAAAATTTAGGCAGAAGTAGCTAAACTACAAGAAAACGACCACTATATTGAAAAAACTATATTGAATAACGACCACATTGTTATATACAATGTGCCAATGCAACTAATCTAAAAAATTCAAATCTATATTTAGGCAAGTCATTTTTTTAAATAACTGTTTTCTAAAATTGGTCAAATCTATGTTAGATTTGTATGCTGGTCTCAGCTTGATACGCACAATAGAAACATAATTCCCAGTCTTCAAATCATATCACAGAACATGCTAATCAATATTAAAAATGTTCTAAAATATATTATAAAATGTTCTTCTAGATATCATATTCCAATAGCTGTCACAGAACATTCCATTTCTTTATCAAGTGAGGCAATGACTGTGACCCCTATACAAGTTTCAACTAACTAAGGGGAATAATAGATGGAAATTGCTTTAGGAAAAAAATGTGTTCTCCTAGCAACCATTTATTTCTGTAGTTATTCACTAAACTGAAAATTATGGAGTGTCGACATGGGAGCTGGAAAAATATCCAAGTTGGAAATATTTCCAATTTGACTTTTTTTTGTCCAAAAATGTTCAATTCTTCTATAATTTCTCTACAACTTCTGTTTCGTTGACTATTCCAACTGATGATCAATATACTTGGTTTTATTTATTACACCACAATTTGAGAGAATTGACATGAGAATTGCAAATTTGGAGACAAAATTGTTGGATCGAATCATTTTAAAAACATTTTTAGGCTTGCAATGCGCAGTTACCTTTACCGTTACCTAATTTCTCCATAATTCTTAGATAATGGATACCCTCAAATATATCATTAAGTTCTAAAGCACTTAGAGGATTAAATTTAATTCTAACTTGTTATTAATATATTTTCTGATTGCTGTGTGTAGAGCTTGTAATTCTTTTTTTTATTCCAACTGACTGGATTTTTTTCTGCCTCTGTTGTAATGCAGTTGGGCAAGCTACTCACACTGGCATTTTTTTTACATTTCAATACACTCTATCATGTCAGCACCATCTTTGTGATATACTTATAGAACCATTGCTGTTCACTGTTTAAACTAGTGTTTTCAAGTGCCTATCGCTTTCAGTTTCAAAATGGAGTAAATTAACTGCGTAATGCTCTTTATTATAAATACAATTTGAATAGTTGGATAAATAACTCATTATTTTTAATATTTTTAATAGTATATCAAGTGTTTGCCTTTTCAAAGCAAGTGCCTAAATGGAACTGCATGTAAGATCAATTAAATACCTCCTGATTTTTACAATTCACACTTTTATATCAAGTCAATCTAGCGAGTTAAATCTAAGAGCCGAATGCAAATAATTCTTATGGCTACTTCGAAGCCAAAAGAACACTGCCTGTTCATTGCCAAGTCATAGGCATAGACTGAGTTATAGAAGACCATGATTCAAATATCATGTGGAAAAAAAATTGATAAGAAAAATTAAAAGTAGATAAAAACAAGCAGATTATGTTCTAAAATAATTAATTGATGACCTCTTGTTTTTGGCCAATGTTGGACATGTGTCAGAGAGGTGATATTTGTCAAATATAATATTTGTCAAATATGAACAATTTTTTAAAGCTAATATATTTTTATTACAAATTTCTGCTTTTCTTAGCGAGTATCACCGATTAAACTTTACTACTGCTTACTGATCACATAATATGGAGGCAATTAATATTAAATCTGTTCTAAAAACTGAGATCCCCTAACTACCTCCCAGAGTTATTGCATTTAAAAGGGAAACCGTCACTTCTCTGGATATTAAACATTGAAAATCATCTATAATTGTGTTATTTTTTTCATCTGATGATCTCTATTATTTTAAATTGCTATGAATAATTTAACAAATGACATCGCAATACACTTTAGTCCAGGCACATCCAGGGCCAACATTGCAAATGAGGATGAGAAATAGAAATATTGTTTCATTTCTACTTCTCTCTGTCTGCTTTCTCTATCCTGATTTCCAGGTGCAAATGACAGAGTTTCTAGCAATTAAAAAGAGTTAAGATGGAGGAACCCAGTGGCAGCATAAAGAGGTGTGAATTTCTATATTTAATTGCATTTTTCACACCTCACAAATACATATTTCCAAATATAATATTATAAATCGTGGGTAGTTACCGTTCCCTTTTAAATGTAGATCTTGTATGCTTGTTATAAAACTGCTTTATAAAAATAAATATTATTACTTAGATTTCATTGTCGGTTATAATTATAATTATAATTATTATTGCTGGTATTTATAAAGCGCCAACACATTCCGCAGCGCAGTACAATGGAATTGTTTGCTTTTAATGACTGGAAACATAATTGAGGTCCTGTGTATGATATGTTCACAGAGAAACATATGTAAATGAGGCAAAAAAAATAGGGTTTTGCTTATTAAATTCTAGGATTTTGCTGAGAAGATAATTTATAGTGAATTAATAAAACTATATTATTTTTCCTAAGAATATCTTGTCCTTTCCACCAAGACCCCAGAAAATTGGTTGTATTTTTAATCTAAATGTATTTAACAGAAAGCGTGCTAGAATCAGTTTGTGTTCAGTTCCCTCTTTGGAATTTTGTCATGAGTGTTATTTACTTTGTAAGATTCTATCCAAACATGCGTGTTTGCTCTACACTTTTTGTGGATGCTGAGTGCCTCACTTTTATTTTTTTTTCTGTGTGTGTGTGTGTGTGTGACCAGTACATTTTAAATTTAGCTAATAACAATAACTCACACATGGATTAAATATGTTTGGCCTTTCCCAAGGAATTGGCGGTGGTGGTAAAACTGGAATAATAAAAGCCACATTTTAACCTCAATATATTAATTAAATCTTCCGAAGGGTTGAGAAATTGACATGCAACACATTATAAGGATTCTGTCTGGATAACACAATTTGTTACTCACTTAAGTAAGCTACGGGTATAGTGAAAAAAAAATTATATATATAATCACACACATTTATATGTATTTTTTTTTATAAATATAAAATAATATATATTATAAAAACATTCTTTACAATATAGTATATATATATTAAAAAATTACTTTACAATATTTTATATATGTATATATATATATATATATATACACATAGAATATGTATAATATATACATTATATTGTAAAGTAATTTTTCTCATATATTATGATATAAGAGATTGTATATATACATATACAAGGGTCCTATTGTTTATTACAGATTCTTCAATTTTTTTGGTTTAATAAACTGAAAGATAATAACGAAAGATTTATAGACGATTTTGTCCATGGTCTTTTTTTCCCTTTTTTTCTGTATTTCTTTCTATGTAATTGAATAAAAATGTACACCTTGGCTGTATTTCCAACTTTGCTGTTTGACTAACATCTTCAAATTTTTTGACAATGTACCACTACACACTTTCAAGTTATTAATTTATTAACACATTTCCTAGACTAAGTGAATAATTTGAAAGTTTGTGCAATAGTCACAATAACCTATATTTGCACTGCATTTAAGTAATATTATTAGATTTACAAAAAAATTATCTCAAAGAAGAATCTCTTAACACAAAAAAATATTTTTCAATCTTACACATTTCACATCATGTTTAATATATATATATTTTCCACTCTGTGTACTTTACCAATAAATTCAGAAATCATATCTCACAGATTTTTGGGGGTAAGGGCATCATAAAAAAAAATATTCTTTATAAACACAAATTTTTTTAACTGTAATTAGATGCACAATGTATGGTGCTTTTTTTTTTTTGAGGAGCCATTGGCTACACCGTGCGTAATCTTTATCCCTCCACAAAAAACACACAACTGCTGTTGGCACTAGATGTGGTCTAAAATGAAATCTTAATAGCTTGATGCAAGTAAGTAATTAAGTGACTTTTTTTGTTCTCAGTGAGCTCATGATTGCTATCGGATATATGGGCTTCCGGACATACTTCCTTCTAAACATCCAAAGTGACTGAGACATGTTGTACAGGTTCTCTAGCCTGTTAATTATTTACCTATATAAACAGTGCTCCAGAAAAGTGTTCCTTTCTTTGAAACACCTTTCATGCGCATCAGGCACTCAGATTGTTCCATCGCTTTCTTTTAAAAACCTCATCAAATGTGCATAAAACTGAAGGCCTGGGATTTATACTTTTAGTATTAATATGAACATAAAAGCGATTGATATATTTAGTCGCTCTTTGTCGGATCCAACTAACAATTAATTTCCCCTCCCATTTCACAAATCTCATTTATATTTTCCCTTCTAAATACATCTTGGCCATGCATTAACTTCTTTCTTATTAGTGCAAGAATATGTTTTTTAGGCCTTTTATTAATCAAACTAAAAATCAATAAATGTAAGGCTTCGAAAAGTGCCGTATTTATTTTTGCTGTTGCGAATTTTCTTATTGTTTTATATTTTGTTTTGTAATTTTATTTGCTGCCTGTATTTTGTTGTTTTGCATTGGTGGAATGTTTTTTTTGTTGTTGGTTGTTTTTTGGTATTTTTCCAAATATCAATGAATGCCAAAAAAGAATTGTATTATAGTCAGAAAGTAAACGGTGAAACACATTCTGCTACAAATATCTTTTGTTTATTGTTTGAAACTCCACATTTAAATAATTTCCCCAGTAGTAGTCAACACAATCCCTTGTGTTTAAGTTGCACGGGTGGTTAAGCCTTTGAGTGCCACAGTCATGTGCTGGAACAGCCGCCATGACATTCAAAGGGATAATCCTGTGGTGAAAGGGTTAAATACATAAAAATGACACACTTAGGTAATCTGTAAATACCTTTTGATGGTGCTTAAAGTCTGAACACTACATGACATGAACAAAAAAAATATATATAGATATGTATAATAAACTCCCCTGGATGAGAGGTGTATCTTCTGTAGATATCTCCTGTAGACCAACAAGTTCTGGGCATTCTCTTTTTTTTTTTCAAACACGCATCTCTAGTACCAATAAGTCACATCTAGTCATAGTTGAGTGCAGAACGTCTCTGTTGTACCACAAGTATCTGCAATTCTTTTCCAATCTTTGTAGTCAATGCCACTATAATTTATTGAGTGCTTTCTGAGGTTACGAGGCCTGGTCCTACCAGGCTCGGATACCATGAAGTGCGGACACACCACTGGTTTGCTGAATTGGAGTCTGCACTGTGTTTAGGTCCCCGACATTGAAATTCATGAAGTTATTACCAGCAGAACTAGGCTGCATGTTTGGCATGGTTGAATAGCTGCAACTGTAGCTACTGCTGCAGGCTGGGTTACTGTAATTAGAGTATGGCGGATAGGTATTGTAACTGTAAGGGTTGATGCTGACATTATATGGAGAATTGTAAGGAGAAGACTCTCCTAAGCATGGTTTCCCGTCTCTCACCAACACAGGGACAGCTATCCTCCTTGGTGGTGGAAGACCCACCATCTCCAAAGTCTGATCTTGCCTCTGCCTTTTGCATTTGTACCTTCTGTTCTGAAACCAGATTTTCACCTGTGTGGATGTCAACTTCAGGACATTGGCTAAGTGGTCTCTCTCTGGGGCCGATAGGTACTTTTGTTGTTTGAATCTTCTTTCCAGTTCATATACCTGTGCTTGGGAAAACAGAACTCGAGGCTTCCTCCTCTTCCTTTGCCTTGGTCTGTCGGGATCGTCCAAATCTCTCTTGTCGTTATCTCTATTTTTTTGCAAGGGGCATAGATCTGAAGTAGGAAGAAAATGTATTGGTTTTCAATAATCAGTAGCAAAGATGATACAAGAGAAATTCTCTTTAGAGTCAATGCACACACACAAACAATAATATTATTAGACTATATAGGTCCTACGTTTTAATTCATTATGTATAGTAGAATAAGAATATAATGTATAGAGGTGCATAATTTTGCTAAATGTGCATATTTCTCTTTGTCACTGTGTTATATCTCGTACATTGTCAACTTATCTGAGTAAAACTTTCTTCACCTCTTCTCTCTGTCAGTATTATTTTGTATGTTAATTACTTGTTGTCAAATACAGCAGAAAATGCTGTCTCTATATTATAATAATAATATAAAAACTCTATATTGTCCAGAAGCTTCATATACCCTGGACAGATGCACTGACAAAAATTTTTATTACTTTATATGCAATAAATTTTACATATAGAAATTCTTGGATACTGTTAGACTCGCCGCATTTCCTAAATTTAGACAATAAGAAAAATGCAAAAAAAAAAAAAACTACTTAGATATATAGTGGAGTTATGAAATTGTTTTCCGTTTCAGGAATTTGGGCATACATTTAGCAAATTAAATGCTATCTTATCACATAACAGTACAGAATCCATTCTAGTTTCACAAACAAAGCAATACAGGAAGTTTAAAGGCTATAACTCTCAACAAATTTACAGTTTAACTGCATTAACTGTGTTATTATATATAACCATTTGATTATATATATAAAATGAACACAAAGACACATTGAACTATCTCTCGTTATAAAACTTTTTAGAAACTCAGGATTTTTACATTTGTTACATTTTGAGCAATTTAATCCTGGGGCTAAAGTAGCCAAGAATTGATTTGTGGGAGATATCTTTTGCAATTCGGATTTATTTGCTAAAATTCTAAGTTTACATGGTTACATGGTTATTTACTTTAGTGAGAATACAAAGTGAATTCAAAGTAAATTTCAAATTTAAGGCCACAGTAGCCAGCCTGAAAGCATAGCTTGACATTTTTTTCATTTAGGCTATTTTATACTGAATTTTAAATTCTCTTTGTCAAATTCTGTTAATAAAATAAGGTATTATAAGAAAACTTCATCTTTTTACAATATATAGTGGCCATATATAATATTTTATATATATATATATATATGTATATATATATATATATATACACACATCTTTTTACTATATATAGTGTCCATATATAATATTATTTTTATCTTGATAAAGACCCAGGAGGGTCAAAACGTTGATTATTTGTAAAATGCACGGTTGAAAAAAATTCCTAAGGAGTGCTCCGTTTACTGTTTATTTTAATATTAGATTTATATATACATACATACATCTTTTTACTATATATAGTGTCCATATATAATATTATATATTATATGATAGTGTTATATAGGAAGTGTTTTCCATGCAGAGCCACTGAAGCACACCGTGTTTTATAATATTATTATTATTATTATTTTATTATTTATATAGCGCCTGCAAATTCATATATAAAAGTATGAAGTGTCATATATATTTGTGTATATCTATATATCGATATATTAGTAGTATTTATGCAGCTTTTTACAATGCAGAGCCTTCTGAAGTTACACCAGCAGCACACCTTGTTACAATGCAAACCGTCTAATGTGCTCATTAGGAAGGACAGCAGGTTAAAGCGCCTGCAGTACATTTTATTGCTAAACGCTTTTTTCCCGATTTCTTATCTTCCACTAATGGAGCTCAATGGGTTTGTCAGCTCTGGAATCTCTGGAGGTTATTAAGGGTAATTTTCCTATCTCATATGAAAACAGATTATATTGGTATGTAGTAAGTATGTGTATCTATGTGTGTTCTGTGTTGTGTTTGTGTGTGTAGAAACACATTGAACATGTTTACATGAAAATCTAACCGTTTATATTCTCACTCACCTAATATTTACATGAACATTAAATTTATTTTAATATTTTAAATAATTGGTTTGAATGAATAATTCAGGTGTTTTGCATTATCTTTTAGAGAACGCAAGTACAATAAGCAGTCTCCTGGACTGGAATAAAAAAATAAATAGATATATAAAAATATTATATATATTTGACATGATTTGTATTCACTAAAATTGCTGAATAAAAGCATATTTTTGATTTGACTACACACACACACACACACACACACACACACACACACACACACACACACTCTCTCTCTCTCTCTCTCTCTTTCTCTCTCTCTCTCTCTCTCTCTTTCTCTCTCTCTCTCTCTCTCTCTCTCTCTTTATATTATTATTGTCAATCAAACCAATTAGATTAGATTTAATCTCTAATTGGATATAGATATATAATATAGACATATTTATATATAAATAATGTAAATATATACATTTATATATATGAGTAATTTAAATCATAAGGACAACATACTATTTAACGTGTGATCAGACATTGAAAATAAACACGTGTAGCCCAATTCCATGACATCTCCTGCCCCGTGACGTCACGGGCTGGAGTCCTGCATGCTGAGAGCCTGCATTGTATCACCATTAAGATTACAACCGGTTAAACAAATAAATCATTCATTAAAAGCCTTGGCGACTCATAAACCGATTGCAGATAAGATACATTAAGTGGACAATAGTATGGAAATGGAATAATTAGCAAATTATTAGGAGATGCTATCAGACAATTGACAGTCTACCCACCAAGCAGATGAACTCCATTTATTTGCCTGGTCTCCTGATTACAAGTGAGATCCTTCCAAGTTTAGCCTTTGGGTACATTATCATGATTACTGAATACAATGTTCCTTTTGTTATTTTTCTTACTGATTCTACCTGGGTTAAAATACTGTCAATATCCATAGAGGCTAGCAGCAATGGAGTATCAAATTGCTCTAAGGTGCCTTACATTAAAACATTGTAACTCCTTATCCTTAGCCTTCCTCTTTACTAAATATACAATCACAATGAGATCAGTAACAGAATAATACAATCCCCAAATAAATGAGTGTGTATCCCATTGGCTGCCTATTTAGAATATAAGAAACATGCCACATTTACCTTTCTTGTCTTCCTTGGGGTCTTTAAGAGGATCCATTTCAATATAATTCTTGACAAAAAATGAGCCAGGGAAAGGTGAGGAGGCTTTGGAGGTGCTTCTGTGGGACATGTCCTCACTCAGATCAGACAGACAAGGGGTGGCAGGGTAGGACTCCTGTTTGAAGTTGGAGAGCATGCAAGAAGAAGAGTCCAGTCTTGGAGATATGTCCATGGCAGACATGCCAGTCTGATGTTGCTCCAAGTTCAAAATGTCTTTGACAGAAAATGGAGTGGAAGTCACAGGGTTGGCAAACATTGTGGCACAGGATGAAATACCAAAAGCAGACTCATGTAACCCCTCCAAATCTGAGCAAGAGAGAGGGCTTGGAAATTAAATCCCACTGCTATTGATGAGAGTCATCTCCTTCCAACGTTTGCTGTTTTTTACCTAGTAAGTGCTGTACTGAGTGAGGTATCACTCTCCATAAAGAAGGAGGAGATACATTCTATGGAGCTGTGTCTCCCTAAGGCAGGAGGGGGTGGAGCTTTTTGGAACTCTGTCTCCATAAGGCAGGGGGAGGAGGGAGACCAGTTTGGAGCTCTGTCTCCATTGGTCAAACCTGTAATGATGACGCAGGACAACTGAGAGACATGTCACCTAATATAGCTATACCCCTGAAAAACAGCCAGTGGGTTTAAAGAGACGATTGTGCTTTTCTTATCAGTAATTTTTGTTACATTATCGTCACATAGAAGCAACTGATAATACTTTGTTGCAGATTTTTTTTTTTTTAGTGGGTATATTCATTTTTAATGATACGATTATTTACTTAACTCTAATGCTATGGTTTACTGATTATTTAGAAGAAAAAAAAACCCGTTTCTTTTAACGGTAGAATTTTAAAATATAATGTATCAAAATTCTATTTGAATAATCTTTTTAAATAGAGATTAAGGATTTTTCGCTTCACATTTAGCCAATTATTGGAATGTGATAAAATTGTTTATTTTACATTCTTTTCGTCTAACCATTTTTGTGTAATAAAAGTGGTGAGCCTATTATTATTATTTTGTAAAATCGTTTTATGAAAAATACTAATATGAGTAATTAATATATATATATATATATATATATATATATATATATATATATATATTAGCTTAGGTTGCAAGAGCAAATGTCGCATCTAATTTTGTTTAAAATATTTGTCACATTGTTTCCTCTATTTATCATATTTCTAGTTACGATTAAAAATAATAGTTTTACAATATTACAATAATAGATTTAAATCGATATAAAGGTGAAGGGGAGCCAGGTTTTATTTAAAAATTTCAAACACAAATGAAAAAATGTACAGCACATCTACAAATGCTTATTGCATTGGTACACATTGGAGGATATTTATCAAAGTAAAAACAGGTGCTATTCAGAACGTTCTAAATGATGAGATGAATTCTGTTTGTTTCCATGGCGACTGCTACTTTATTGCACTAGCAACCGCAGCAGTTTTTTTTTTTTTTTTTACCTTGAAACATCTCCCTCATTGTGAGCCAAGTGTGTGCGTGATTCTGTCAAATCCTGCATCACTGTATAGTAATTATAGACATAATATGCGGCCATTTAATATGTCTATTTATATTAGTTCTATGCATGAGTTCTTTAAAAAATATTTCTGTTTGTATTAAAAGAATATTCATAGCTGATACATTTTTACCTGATTTGGGTATTAGATGGCATGTGTAAATTATAAAATTATAACCATTTGATTATCTTTGTCCCCATTTTAATATATATATATATATATATATATATATATATATATATATATAAGATGAGATTGTTAATATCCAAATATTATGTAAATGTAAATATCCAAGAGAGTGTAAGGATGAATATTATTGATATTCAATAAATTGATAAGCATTTATTCAAGAGGTTAATTAATAAGAGCAATGATATAATAGCCATCCCATCCCACCATTAATTAAATTATCTGTCAGTCATCTGTCTTTGAAAATCTAAAAAAAAATAAAAAATCTCACGTGAGTGGTATGAATATATAATATGTGATAACATTTGTCAATATTTGCCTACATGGCGAATAACGAATTAAAACTATGTACAAAGAGTAAAAATAGTTAATATATTTAGTAATTTTGGAGATTGGGCATGAAATAGAAACGGTTGTCTGCATATTGGTTTATAAAATTGTTCTTTATATTGATATATTTACAAATATAACAATTTCTCGTGTTTAGATAAAGGATTGAGTATTTAAAGGATATGCTTAGAACATTTTGTTAACTATGATATGTAGTGTATATGTTTACAAACATGTAAATATGTGTTGTCATATAATATATATACAGAGTATATATATATTATATATATATATATAGTGTTATACAACTGTGACCTGTTGTATATATAAATAAAATTAAAAAAATATATATATTTTTTTAAATGAATTAACATATAACCATATATAAGTTTATCGTTATTTAAAAGTGAGAACTATTAAGTTAAATACCACGAAGAAGCAAATTCTAGCAACATATAACAGTATATCGTAAATAAAAATTAATTATTGCAGATATGTTTTTAAATCGTTATTTTAATGACATTTATAGGTTGTTTCCCATTCAGCATGTTCCTTGCATCAATGTCTGAGACAGAGGAGAGCTTAATGCTGTGTTTTACATATTAACCCCTTAGGAGCAAGAATGGAACACAGCTAAATTTAAATGTCCAGCTATATCTAACTGCCAGCAGTCAAGCGAGGAAGTATAGAACTCACTATTTCCCAGGAGAGAAAGAGCAGACACTCTAATCTCTTCATTTATTTGTTTTCTTCAAGTCTATCGTGGAAAGTGGGACCACTAAAAGCCGCAGGCAGAGAGGGACTCCTGGCCAATTCTGCAGGCCTTCTACAGTAACAATAATGATGCTAATGTTATTTAATAAGGAATTATTTTTGTCACTTTGCCCCTACCTGATCTGCTGTGACCCAGACAAGTGTTAATAGAATTATTCATGTGTGTGTTTTTATTCTGACCCCTATAGCATAGAGAGGAAGCCCCCATCCTGCCCCTTTCCAAACTCAATGCCAATTCTAGAACTAACTGTACAGCCAGCAATAACAAACTTTCACCAATACTTTTTACTATTTACAATACATCCCACTTAACAGAAATATCCGCTATACTTATTTATTTAACATCCAGTGTTCAGTGGAATTATCCCTTAATAATCTCTAGCACTGAATTGCCTTCAGTAAAAAAAAAAAAAGAGAGAGAGAATAATGAAAATCAGTTCTAACAAGCTGTATGGAATTAATCAACTATTTGTACTTTCCTTGCTCCTTCGTTTTTATTTATTCTTCAGCTTCCCTGCTACAGTCGCTCTCTTCCCTTAGTTTAATTTAAAGGGCTATCAACTAAAGTAAGGATTCCAAGGGAATTTCAAATTTAAGACCAAAGTAGCTGAATTGGACAAATTCTCCAAATCAACTTTGCTTCCAGCTCGATTACTATGGCCTGAAATGTGAAATTCTCTTTGAATTCACTTGGAATTCTCACCTCAGTGAATACACCCAGTTATTCTTTCTCTATCTCCTCATACTACCTCTTTCTAGAATACATTTTTCTAGATGGATCCTTGTCTCTCTCCAGCAACTATTCTTTCATTATATCAACTTTCCTCTTCTCTCTCTTTCTCTGTCTCTCTCTCCCCTTTCTAGCTGCATTTTATCTCTGTCTGACCATCCTGTAAAGTGGCAACATCCGTTTCAATTAAAATTCTTGCCGAAAATGGATGATAATGCCCTGTAGTATTTGCTAGTGAATCAGGATCCCTGTCATAGCCAGAGCTGACACTTTAATAGATTAGTGTGGACAGACGCCTGAAATATGGCAATTTAATGGGTAATGCACCTCTTACAAAAACTTTTCTCCCCCACCACCCCTCGTGTTGTTGTCTCAGTTTAAAGGTTATTATGCTGTGTTATGATTGGTTGGGTTGTTGGTGAAATGAAGTTTAGGATAGTTTAGAAGGGTTCCCCTAAATTAATGGTCTATCAGTAACTTTGGCCCCTGGTGTGTTGTAACAAATCTATTAGCAGACAATTCTCCACTTGAAGTCACCTTGTGCATTTTTATGAGATTGACAGTTACATGAAGCTGACAAATTAACTAAATCTTGTGTTCTAAAATTACAGATTTTTGTGCACTTTATTGTTTTATCTGTTTTATATTATTTATCCAGCACAGAAGGGGTTACAATAATGCCAAATATTAGCTTTACATAGGAAAAAATAAAATATATATATATAATTTAGCAATAGGCAGAATCATTATATATAAAATATATATTTTTTTTAAAAACATCTAAAATCAAAAATATGTAATTTGTCATAACGTCTTAAATAAAATCTCCGTTATCCCATCTAAGAATAACAGGCAGGCAGAATATGAGAGATTTTTTTTAAAATTTTATTATTTAAAATAACAAACGTTTAATACAAAATAATGAAATGAAAACAAAAACATAATAAGTTGATAATCATAAAAAAAACCTTTAAAAAATGCACAAAGGATTAGTATACAAATTGAGAGATACCTTATTTACACTGGCTAGCCAATGCTCATATACAATGGAGTATTAAAACGTGTTTTTGAAAACAAAAACAAAAAAAAAACGTATTTTTCATTGTCAAATGTATTAATTGTATTTGTTTTGTAATGTGCTAATGTGGAGTACATCAATTATACTGAGCTAAGGAAGTTCAGTTAATATAAATGAATTGGCTTTAATTCTTAGTCACATACTGACATATTCAAACTGAGATATGATCACACACACACATAGAAAGTGATACAATGATATATATTTTGCCTACCCACCTATTCTCACCGTATGAAAATATAAACAAGAGGCAAAAAATATATATATATTTTTGAAAGTTTCACAATCAAATATTTAAAAAGATACCTGCAAAGCAGCATTTTTTTAAAATTCATTTTTACTTCTTTTTACATTTCTTTGTGTATTTTGCAATGGATACAATGATTGACCTGCAATTATTGACATGCATGTTTTAGGTGTTTTTGTGAAAAGTCGCATAGGAGTGGAAAAGTGCCAATTATCACTTTTTGCACTTTTGAATAATCCTAGAGTGATCTCAGTACATCAACAATGCTTATTCAGAAATCAATATTGCTTTACAACCTAATGAATACCATTTATCAAAATAGATGACATATTTTAAAAATGAATGCAAATTAATAAAACATTGCATTGAAATCATTAACATATAGGACGACCTTTCTTTGTAAATATGCAAACATACTTTATATCTTGTTATCGAGATTACACATGACAATAAAGAGTGGATTATGGGTAAATAAAATAAAATATCATTTTGAAAATAGGTTGGGTTCAAAGGGTGTCCGCTGCAAATTGAAACTGCTGCCC